CCAAGCAATGTTTGCATGTTCTCATGTGTGTAAAAATGAATGGATGTCTTGACTCGATTACTTGTTGATTACAATTGCCATGCATTGTGTTTTTTGAAATTGGAATGAATGATTGGGTGACTAGGTAGCCATGTGAGTTTTGAGCCGATCATTTTCTTATTGTGTGCTTAGATCCCTCTTAACATGGCGAGTAACATCATAGTTGTCACTAGTGAGTATGATGGAGGCATAGGATTAGTCCACGCCCGAATGTTTGTTGTCCCCAAATGCTTTATCCCCTCGTCAACCCCTTTGAGCCTTGTGACTTTGGGGATCGTTCTTTTGTAGGAGCTTTTTGCTTGTGAGTTTAATGGTGTTTGATAGAACGACCCGACATCCTTTCTTCATGTCTAAACGTGAATCGTCCTTATCCCCTTTTCTCTTTGATGTTTGTTGCAATTGAACTCCAAAAGGGATGGTTTTACGCGAGGTTTCTTAAGTTTCACTGTGTTTCAGATCCTAACAGCTTAAACCAACCCCAGAGTCGAAAGTTGGAAGAAAGGAGCAAAGACCGGTCAAGGAGGAGGAAACAACCACAGGTCACAGTCTGCCATTGGAGTTCACGGTCTCTAAGACTGTGAACTGGAGCCAAAATCCATGAACCAAGGAGCGTCTAGAGAGGATTTTTGAGGTTACTGACGCCAAGGCTGTTCACGATCACTAAGACCGTGAACTGCAACCATAAGCCATGAACTGGGCTCGATCTCAGTTTAAAGAGCCAGCTGAAAGGAAGAAAGAGGAAAGGGATACCTAGCGTGAGTAACTTTTTCTTCTTCAGATTTTAGAGCGAGAAAGTGACGAACCAAAGAAGAAGAGAAACTAGGGTTTCATCTCCAAGTAAGGATTTGGGAATTCCTCCCCCAAAGGAGGATCTCTTCAAAGGGTGCCGAATTGCTCCGGGTCATGCACCGCCCTGCACACACTTAGAGAACAACACCACGTCTAGCACAAGAAAAACACTCACACAATCAAAGCTGAAAAATAAAAGCTAGATTAACACCAAACAACTTTTTCAAGATAAAGTACCGAAGTTCCCCGGCAATGGCGCCAAAAACTTGACTCGTCCCGAATATCAAACAAAATCCCACCTAAGGTCCAAGTATAAACCTTAGATGGGTGCAATATAGGGAAAGTATGTTTAAATATCAACCCGGGCCGGTCCATGTACCCCTACTTCCATTGTTTGAAACATTATCTAGCGGATTGGCGTTTGGTTGAAAACTATAAGGATCAAATTAAATCAAAGCAAAGGTAAATGGTTTGAAAGCTCTAGATGACAAGGATCATTCGGGTGTCACTTCCCCCTAACTACAACCATAGCTTGTGGAATCGAATGGGACGTTATGGGCGAGGCAATCATGAACCGCTAGGAAGTGCAACTATGATCGAAGACCACACTCTCAATTGCCAAAGCAAGGGATACATTATAGGCTACTAGAGTAGCCCTCTTGGTTAAGGCAATTGGGGGTTGACTTACCTTCTCCCTCAAACCGATGGTTGGACAGCTTAATCACGATTAACCTAGTCGTTTAATTCAAGATAGAGGTTTGCCCTACATTAACCTAGGTAGGTGGCTTGAAAAGCCCAAGGAATCCAAACTCAATTAAGCCTCTTTGGAAAGGGGGTTTCCCCTCTAACCTAGGTTAGAATGGCCAATTTGATTGCTAAGCACAAATATGCACAGTCATCATGAAAATACCTCAATCATTAAATTAAACAGCACCCATAAACAATCATTCATTCACACAACAACTACATGACAAATAGTTAGGGTTTCACAACACCCAAGTGAAAAAGGTAACTACTCCATGCTAGAAAGGGGAAGAACACAAAAGAAAGAAGTAGAAACCATCATGGCGATGCCTCCACTCTCCTTTGATCTTGTGTTGATATTCACTTGAGGATATTCTTCCCAATTCACCACTTGGAGCAAACCCTAGCCTCCTTTCTTCTTTGGTTCGTCGTTTCTCCCTCTAAAATCTGAAGAAGAAGGTGCTTTCTCACACTCGGGCTCCCCCTCCTCTCTTCCTTTCAGCTCACATTATATACTGGGATCGAGCTCAGTTCACGGCTTCAGTTCAAGACTGTGAACTCTTCAACGCGTTTGTGAACTCGGAGTGCTGTGTCGAAATGCACCGCTTCACTCACTTGAGTTCACGGTTTGCACTCAAAGTTCATGGTCTTGGTGAACGTGAACTCACTCGGCGTCAGTAACCTCTGAAATCATGGTCAGAGCGAGTCAGTCTCTCTTATTCTTTATAAGTTAGCTTTCCTTCACTTAGATAGAAGAACCCTAGTTATTGGTTTTAGTTTGAGACCTAATGTAGGTGACAAATCCTATGTTTGATTACTCCTACTATCTATTTGATTAATGTTTATGATGAATTACATGAGTCTTGATCACACTACATATCAATTGAGCTTTTGACCTAGGAGAGAGAATATCTCCCTAGGTTAAATAGAGCATCTTCAATCATGCCTAAGTGAGCTCCAACATTTTAATTAGCTAGGTTAGTGGTTCGGTTAGTGTAGTTAGCTTTCTTAATCACTATTCTTGTTTGGCGAGATAAAAAAACCTTAGTCGAAGTAACGATACATCTAGAGACCTGTGGTTTGATAATTTTATTACTTTGCTTACCCTATGCTACCTTCGGTTGTTGGTTATACTTAGCCTTCGATTAGGTGTTGTAGTTAGGCCGAGTCAAAATCTCATTTACCTTGCTTCTTCCCCTTCCTTTCTTTCGAGGAGACATGAACTACAAGATTAAAATCCTTCGAGTTTAGTGGCACTCTAGATTGAACAGCTAAGGCTAGCACTCTAACATTACTTCTTTTCTTAATACGACCTAAGATAGCACGACCCTTTCCTTTTTTAACCACTACTTGAAAACCCACTACATCTACTAGTGCACTTTCCTTGCCCTGCAGAGTGGAAGAGCTAGCTGCACCCCCAATGATACAACTGCTTGCTGCACAATTACAGAATTAGACAAATCTCCAAAAGGAGATGGAGATCGTCCTTATTGATCTTTTCCAGAGTAAACTACAAAACTAGGATGTATTGATCTCTTGATCTGGTCTAGTTCAAACCATGATTTACTAGACCTTACCATGGACCGAGTCACTTTCCTATTTGTGTTAACTACTCACTCGACCACTCTCCCAACTCCTCAACGAGACTTAAGTCTGAACACTAATTTTCTGAATCCCGTCCACTCCTTCATTCATAAATCATAATCCAGCACATACTAGAGAGGACTATCTCTCCAAGTGAAATTATGTTAATGTTTATGACGTCATGGTGCAAGTTGGATTGCTCTGACTTTGTATTTTTGTTATCTGATTGGATTTTTTTGTATCAAATGCTTGTTGGGAATTTACGTTTTAGAAAAAATAGATTTTTCTTGATATTGGTTCAATTTTCATGTGGTTGACTAAATAAATTAATTTTTTTTCCGCTCAATATATCTGCATGGTCCATATCCTACTAAAACAACGAACACATGTATGATTTAGTTTAAACCACCCTAGTATTTGGCTGCTCAGTCGTTATGAAAAGAATGAACAAAGTGGAGAATAAGAACGAATGATCAAGTTTGAGTATGGTGGGATAGATAGGTGTCAAACAGTCCAAATTTCAAAATTGAATCCCTAGTTTCTAATATGGGGTTACATGCAAGGGTGTATGATCTCATTGACAATCAAATAGGAGTTGGAAAAACAATATACTGTAGTCAAGAAAGGATTGTTCAGATTCCTTTATCTAAATGTCAACAACTAGACGTCTGAGTTTGGGGACAATACAGACTAGAGAAGTACATTTGGAAGTCAGGTTCCCATGAATGGAGGAGAAAGAGACGAGAAGATACATGGGAAAGGTATATCCATGTGGATTGGAAGAGGATGTAACACCTTCAATTACCGCCAAAGGTAAGAGTTTTCTTTTGGTGTTGGGGTAGCAACATCCTAGTGATTGGAGGTAACCTAAATAAAAGGATAACAGAGGAAAATATGAATGCTCATTCTGTGGATTAGGAGAAACCCAGGAACATATTCTTAGGGATTGTGACTGAGCAAGAAGGATATGGAGGCCTAGTTTTCTATGTAGCTTATGGAATGATAAAAAAATCCCCGGAGAGGAAATATGCTCAATGATGATGGCCTTATGATTTATGTGGGAAGAAAGAAAGAATTACTTGTTCAATAGAAAAAGCCAGAGGAGAGGGAAATAATTGAAAGATCGCAGATTTACTTGGATGAGTATCACAACTGTCATCAAGGTGAGACCCATGGAAGAGGGTTCCGATAGGCGGTGAGATGGGAGAAACCAGAGAGGGAAGTCATGAAACTCAATGTTGATGTGACAAAGTTAAAGGAGGGCAGGACATGTTTGGGGATGGTGATAAGAGACGAGGAAGGAAAATTCGTGATATCGTTGGTGAAGAGAACGAGGTTGATTGGGAGCCAGAGCTTATTGAAGCTCAAGCGGTTTTGTGGGATCTACGGTTGGCTCGAATGCATGCATCGAAATTGATTCTGTTGGAATCAAATTGTTAATCCCTAATTCAAAAAACTTAACAGGGAGGAGTTGATTAAGACGAAGCTGGAGGTGGTGCTGGATGAAATCTGGGAGATGAGGTCAACAATATGAGAGGTTCGTTGGAGTTTTTGGGGCAGAGGAGGTAACACAACTGATAGAATGACTAGGACAAAATGCAGATGGAAAGTGACTGAAATGTAGTTAGAGACAGTGGCGGAGCCAGGATTCAAAAGTACCTGTGTCCTCTTCTCAAAATATAAATATATAAATAGACTAACGGTGAAATTATTCGTAAAGTTAGTGCCGAATAAGAAAAAAAAGTAATTCGGGGACAAATATGAAAGAATTATATAATTTGAGTGCCGGCTCAGAAGGGCAAAGTTATATCTCTGCGTAAATTGTAATTCGCCGACTTTCAAGTCTGTTTTGTGGCATTGGTTCTTCTTTTGCGCGTCTCGCAGCCGACGATCGCAGTTCGCAGCGACTCTACTTAACATAACTATACGTTTGGAACCGAACATCTACTCTGAAAACTTCGCCGGATCACCGCCTTCCGACGGCCACTTCACTCTCGCAGTTCCATACCACAATGACGAGAGAGCCCAGTTCTTCATCGATCGTCCGTCTCAATATCGGTCCGCTCTCTCTCTCTCTCTCTCAATTTGTTCCCTTCGCTTCAGTATGATGCTCTGATGTCAAAGAACTGAAACCCTAATTCACGCTGTGATTTTTAATTTGCCTTGTGATCGTGTCTCTTATGACGTCCAAGGACGACTCTGTTTGGATACCCAGAATTGTGTTAGTGAACTGAAGGGAAATGTGGAAATGGAATTTGTCCCTTTTTTATATATAATTATTCTGGTTGTTTGATTGATTATTGTGCTGTATTTTTGAAATGCTAGTTGACTGAGTTGGTTTAATTGCTTCGACTGTTGGATATTTGGGGGGTAACTGTGACTTCATAGTATCTGTTGTATGTACCTTCTGAGTGCTCTAATTCGTTCTTCTCTGTGTGTGTATTAACTGTAGGAGGGAAGAAATTTTCCACTACGGTTGATACTCTGACGAATCGAGAGCCGCATTCCATGCTTGCGGCAATGTTCAGTGGTCGACATACTCTTTATCAGGATTCTGATTCTGTATGGGTTTCTACTTGAACTAACCCATGGTAGTTAGGAGTGATGTTGCTTTACATTTACCTCCATATGATGAGGAATTGAACGAAGGGTCTTACAGGAGATCCGTTTTGTCAATGTGTCTATGAAACTTGGTTTAATGGAAAGAACTTGCAAACACACTAGTAAAAGAATTGCTATATTGTTAGAAGTTTCTTTGAATTGACTAGTCGATGGTGTTGCACTCCACAGGGACAGGTCTTTGTTGATAGGGATGGGAAGCATTTTAGGCATGTTCTGAATTGGATGAGGGATGGAGTAGTGCCCACTCTATCAGATGCGGAATATTTGGAGCTTATGCGAGAGGCTGAATACTATCAGCTACTTGTATGTTCATATTCTTCTTGCTTCCGTATGTTCTTTGCTTCTCCATCATTCCACTCTGGTTTAGTAGCCTAGAGGATAGCTCAAGCACTGAACAGCCTTTTATTTTGTTATCATTGCATTGTTTTGGTTATCTCATTCCATGAACTATTTGATATGCTTGCTTTCCAAATCAGGGGCTTGTAGAAGGAATCAATTCTGCTCTAAACAAGAGGAAAGAAGCTGATGATTTAGATACTGAATTGACACGAACAGATATCATCAAGTGTATACAGTCTGAGAGGGTCCGGTTTAGAGGGGTTAATCTTTCTGGCCTAGACCTCTCCAAATTGGTAAACTTTTTGTGCCAAGTGCTCACAGATGTTTCTACAATCTAACCTTTTTATTATCTTCTTCTTTTAGTTGGATATGATTGCTCTTTTTTCAATAACTCGTACATCAGCTTTGTGTATATCTCCTGAAAATTATAAATGAATTCACTTTGCCTTTGTAATGCCTTCTACTTGCATTCAGAATAATATTGTCCCTGAATTATTGACACTGACTTCAGATGCCTATGGAACTTCAAGATTTCATTTTTACATGCATAAAAGCCAGACACATCAACACATTGGGAACATAATGCTTCATTCGTTGAGATTTTTCTTCTATAACTGTTGTTAATGTAACAAACTGTGCGGACTTCTGCTCAGTTACTTTAGTTGTTCTCTTATTGTCAAGGGGGGCTTTGCCAGTTAGATAATAGTAGTGATTGTTAAGCTTCATGGCCTGCAGGATCTATCATTCGTTGACTTCAGCTTTGCTTGTCTCAAGAATGTCTTCTTCTCACGTGCTAATCTTCAGTGTGCTAAATTCAAGGTCTGTATTCAGCTGATTCCTCTTGCTTAAGTCTATGAAGATTGTGCATGCCTAATGAATCAACTAAACCTTACATATTTTGCATGATAGGATGTGGATGCTGAGGGTTCCATATTTCATAATGCGACTTTGCGGGAGTAAGGCAGTTGCTCTTTGTTGGTTCCTTTTTTTTTGTAGACCCTTGTCACAAATAGACATCTTGATATTTGTACAATGCCTAGGGAAGATGTGAATTTACTGGTGCCAATCTACGTGGCGCTGTTTTAGCTGGGGCTAATCTTCAGAGTGCAAATCTACAAGGTAGTTTTCCCCCCAATCTTACTGGCCTTTTAGCACTTCAGGGATATGGTTCGTGAATCGTTTTCACTTTTCAATTCTCATATGGTCTTGGAGGAAGGTTTTACATTGAAAATCAGTCCAACAGTAGGGAACCGTGGTGCTACCTATTTAGGCTGTGTTTGCTTATATATTTTCTGTAGGCTGATTATTATGCCACTGGGCAGTTTCCCTTGTTGGAACTGACTATTTTTGTATCGAATCCAATGTGAGCTACTTGCAGATGCTTGTTTGATAGATTGCAGTTTCTGTGGGGCAGATCTACGCACAGCTCACTTACAGGTTCATCATCCTTTCGTCTGTGATATATACAAGGGCCACTGTATCCCTTATCATGTTTTTCTTTTTACTGCCATCCTTTGGTTGGTAATCTGGCATATCTGCTCATTTTCCTATCGGCTGCAAGGATAACTTTTAAATGCCATCGATTCTATCATCTGAACTTGTAATGGAGCAAATTCTGCTATTATGTTTGATACTACCAAATTCAGATTCTGGCTACTTTCTGCTTGGTTGTTTTATTGACTGTCAAAGTGTGTTTGAATTTTATGCTTGACCTATTTGGAAACTGATATTAGACTGCTGACTTTACCAATGCCAATTTGGAGGGAGCAAACCTAGAAGGAGCCAATCTGAAGGTAAGGGTTCTTTTTTCTGTTTTTGCATTCTCCTTTAGGTTCAAGAATACTGTTAGATTTGGCTCTTGATTTTCTCAAGGTTCTCTCATGTCAGGGTGCAAAACTGATCAACGCTAATTTAAAGGGAGCAAACCTACAACGTGCTTATCTGCGTCAAGTGAACTTTCAGAACACTGTAAGTGATAACAAGTGGACCAGGATTATGTAGTCGGTTGTTGTTTTAAAAAAGGACCAACTATTGGCTGTGTTTGTGTGTGTTTTAACACAGCTTTTGGACGGCGTGAGGCTTGATGGTGCCAATTTGCATGGGGTGATTCGATGATGTTGAAGCTAAAAGATAAAATGGATGGTTGATGAAGGTCTGGCCATGTTCGCTTTCCGTTTATGAATAACAACTTTGGTGATGGGGATGAATTGGTGAATTCAAAACACAGTGGCGTTGAAGCTGGGGGGAATCATGCTTATATGAATCTACGCTTTTTCATGTAAGTTATGAAACTCATTCAGTAATGAATCTCATATTTTCTAACTTAGTTTTACTTCCATGTTCACTCCTGATGTTGTTTCCCACTACCCATTCACTTCATTAACATATAGCATTTTGGTTTGACTCTGCGGACACTATGGTGCTCCTGGATACGAGCTTTACATGGTGTGACCCAACTTCTGGGTTAATGTTAATGTTGAAAGTGAAGTCATCGTCACTTTTTCCAACAACTCTCCGATTAGCCTGTACAAGCTTCAAAATGGATTTCCAACCACCCTCTTACTCTAAATCAACTCAGACAAGACTCATCTAAATCAACTCATAGACCACTCATTCCCTTCCTTTTCCTCTTCTTTTGTCTTCAAATCTTCTTCTTTTCTTTTCGGTTCATTTGTTGCTCGTATGTACGTGAGAATGGAGGAAGAGGCTTCTTCATTGTTATAGCTCTTGTCCAGAGCTCCCACCTCCTTGATTTACCGACTAGCGGAAGGACTAAAGGCTTGGGTCGCCCCTTAAGCCCTAGTATCAATAGGGCGATCGAGTCCCTATTTCCCAACTACGACCACCACTTAGGTATCGTCATCAGCAGCTCGACACGGCTTGGAACATGGTTTCCGATAGTGTCTTTGCTACTGCTATATTTAAACAGAACGGTGAAGTTCCAACACATACCGAGTGTGGCTGCCGAACATGACTCGAAACATGGTTGTGTTTCTGATCGTGTTTGGTTCGTATAATATGCAGCTGAAACACAAGACACAACATGGGTGTCTCTTGTACGTGTCAATCTGTCTCTTATTGTGATCCATGCAATTTCCAGCACTTTGTCCTGTTTTTGCTCCCTTTTGTCCGACTTTCGATTATGTCGTCCATTTCACCGGCTAGAACCTGAAACATCCTAAAATATGACAAAACGTAACTTAAAATGGCTCCAAAAACGATGCTACACAAGTCTAATGGCAAAGTCAAAAGAGTAAAAATATGTACATAATGTCTCGAATCAGTAGCAAATCTTCCTTTCCAATCCCTCATTTTCATATCAACTCCCCTCTCCCCTCTTGTCCTCCCGATTCTATTGATTTCAGCGAGTCTCCTTTGTCTTTTGTCCCTAATTCGATTGATTCAGAAGACCCTTCCACTCCCAACCAAATTTTCATTTCATCATCTTCTCCTTCTTTTAGCCCCTCTATTATTGGACCTTGATTTTCCCTCCCCATCCTGTGGCGGATTCGTGTCAGTGAAGCTAGGACATGGAGCGTTTCCCTTTTGATGTTCAATACTTGGTGGAGGCAAGCGTTGATCTGGGACGGTTCTTCAATTTAGATAATGAGGATGGTCATGCCGAAACCAAAAGGATCATAATCTCGAGAGCATAGAATATGCATGAAAGGAAGGCGAAGAGCTCAAGTTCTAAATTTGATATGGAAATTCACAGGTTAGGACCATTGGAACCCCCTTTGGATGGTACGAGACAATGCAAGAGGAGGTTGGTGGGGGTATAAGAGAGGTGACTTTATGGGTTCTTCTATCCTTATTTGGAATGTTTGGGGTCTCGGTGATCCTAAGAAGAGGGCTCGTGTTCAACAGATCATCAGACGTAGGAATCCAAATGTTGTGGGGCTTATTGAAACTAAATGGGAACAATGCTCCAAGAGCAATGTTAGAAGCTTGTGTGGTAGAAGGAATTTTGGATGGGTGTGTAAAGCTGGAGTTGGAAGTTCATGCAATATTCTTCTTTTCGGGGATAATTCTTTGTTTCGATTGAGGTCGGAGAGAATGTGTAATTTTTTCCTCTATGTTGAACTTCAAAAAATTTCCTCCTCCATGATTTGGCATCTCGTGATTGTGTATGGTCCTCATAAGTCATAAGCGTAGAGATAAACTTGTTTTCTTGCAGGAGCTTAACTCCTTCTATCAAGAGGTGAGCGATCCTTTCTACATAGCTGGCGATTTCAATCTTGTGAGGAGTCGCGATGATTATGTTGGTCCAAGACGAAGTTCGGAACTGATGTATGAATTTAATGGATTCATCAATGTTAATGCACTCATTGACCTCCCTTTGGGGGGCAACAGGTTTACTAGGAGTGGGGTTTTTGGCTAAGGTTCTCTTTCTCGGATTGATCGTGTTCTTCTGTCTGTTGATTTCGACTCTTTGTATCCTGATTGTTCTCTCTCTGCTCTTGAGAGAGTTGACTCTGATCACCACCCTTTGCTATGTGGTTGGAGGACTAGAGGTTTTATAGGGTCGTATCTGCCTAGGTTGAGGCTCTGTTGCGGGGTTTCGTTGTGTTTTTAGGTGGTCCAAAAGACTTCAAGATTTAAAAGCCAAGTTGAAGGTGTGGAATAAAGAAACATTTGGTAATTTGAATACTAGAATCGATGATCTTCTGCAGGATATTAAGGCGTTGGATACTATGGAAAAATCAGGGTTTATCACTAAGACAGACCAGGAACGTAGGGATTCATTGAGAATTGATCTGGAGAAGCTGTTAACTGTGCAAGAAATTAGGTGGAGGCAGAAATCCAGGGAGCTTTAGTTGAAGGTTGGTGAGCGCAACACGGGTTTTTTTCACAAAGCTGCAAATTTCAGAAGAAAGATGAATTACATTATCCTTATCAATATGAATGTCAATCGAGTTGAAAGTAGAGATGAGGTTGCTCAAGCCGTCGTTAATCATTATCAGAACTTGTATATTGAGAAGTTTAGTTCTCGACCCTTCCCTTGTCAGTATTCAGCTTGCAGGCTGTCTGACCTTGATTGTAATATCTTGGTGCTTCCTTTCTCTTAAATTGAGATTTTGGATGCCTTGAAAGATAGTGACGGTGGGAAGGCTCTAGGTCCTTATGGCTTTCCAATGGAATTTTATAAGAGATGCTGGGAGTGGATGAAGACTATAATGTGCGGCTCACTCTTTTATTTACTTGACGCCAAAGAAAGATGCAATTGAAGATATTAGTGACCTTCGTCCTATTAGTCTCGTACTAACAAGCTCCTTAGCTAGGTTCTTGCTCGCACAATGAGCTTGGTTCTACCGAAGATTGTTTCTTGATTTTAGCATGCTTCAGTCTAGGGGAGGCAGATCTCGGAATCCGAGTTGACTTCTAATGAACTTGTCAACAGTCGGAAAAGAAGCAGAAAACCAGGTCTGATATTCAAACTTGATATTGAAAAGGCGTTTGATAATGTTAATTGGGGTTGCTTGTTTGAAGTCTTATCGAGTATGGGTTTTCCTCCCAAGTGGCATAGTTGCATCCAGGAAGTTCTGTGCTCTCCAATTTACTCCATTCTCATCAATGGAGAGGCCAAGGGGTTCTTTTTAGCTAAAAAGGGATTGCGGCAGGGGGATCCTCTATTGCCAGGGTTATTAGTTCTCATCATCAATATTCTCTTGTTTATGATAGGCAATCTTCAGCAAGATGGGAGAATTAAGGGATTTTGTATGGACGAGGAAATGGGACTTGGGGAGGTTACTCTTCATCTGTTCGCTGGTGATTATTTAATCTTCTATGAAGCATATCATGAGCAAGTTCTGCTTATCTCAGCTGTCCTTGTGTGTTTTCAGGCTATCACTAGCCTCAAGATTAATCTCGAGAAATCAGTGATGTACACTATGGATGATGTCCCCCCGCCAGGTTTTTTTGTTGCAATATTTGAGTGCAATTGGAGTCGCGATCAATCAATATATCTCGGATACCCCCTTGGGGGCAAGCCTAATGCGACATATATTTGGGACCTCATTGTGACAAAATATCATAAGAGGCTGTCGGGGTGGAAGGGGCGTCATCTTTCTTTTAGGGCCAGGTTTGTTCTTATTAGATCAATACTTTCCAGCCAACCAGTCCATTACTTCTCCCTCCTTAAAGCTCCAGAGCTGGTGATTAATAGACCAGAGAAAACTCAAGGACACTTTTTTGGAACGGAGAGGTGATGGCTCTAAAGTCCCATTAATTAAATGGAATATGTGCAAGGCTCCGACTTTAACAATGCTCTTCTTTCTAAATGGTTATGGCGTTTCGCTGTCGAGAGGAATGGGTGGTCGCGCAACCTTATTGCAATTAAGTATCCGAACAATGTGTCCTCTTGGCATACTGGTCAGATTAGTGGTGGTTTCTCCAAGTTAGTTTGGGCCAATATTTCTAGAGAGGTTGGTGAATTCTGGAAATTCGCATGTTTTGATCCCGGAGCAGGATCTAATATTTCGCTCTGGCACGACCATTGGCTTCCCGGTACTGTGCTTGCCTCATCTTTCTCTCGAGTCGTTGATGCTGCTTCACACCCTTTTGCTAGGATTTCTGATGTTTTCAAACGCTCAAGTGAGAAAGTGAGGTGGGATCTTTCTTTGAATTTTTCTTTGAGAGGGGGGAGAGGGGGGGGGGGGGCTGAGAGGGAGCTTATTGATCTTTATCTTTGATAAATTCTTGTGCAAATTGGAGAATTTTTAACGGTCCCTGCAGACTTGTGTGGCTCCCAAAACCAGAGTCCAGTATTTCTGTTTCCTCTATGTACAGGTAGATGGCGGATCCTCTTTTTCCTGGGATGCCGAATTTCCCTGATGTTATCATTTGGAGACAGATAATCCCCACCAAGGTGTGTTTCTTCCTTTGGACGCTATTTCACAAGAAGCTCAGTACTCTGGACAAGCTGAAGGGTAGGGGCTTGGCTCTTGCCAACCAATGTGAGTTCTGCAAAAATCAGGCAGAGTCTGCAAATCACTTGTTCATGGAATGCTCATTTTTTTGTGAGATGGAATGGGATTAGAAGTGCTTGCGGATAGGTGGTGCTGCCCTTGGGAGACATTTGTTCAGTTATACAGAACTGGCCTGCGTGTGACCCCAATAACATCGATTCCTATTTTGTGTGTTGTGTTCTTCTTGCGATCTGCTGGCATACTTGGCTTGAAGGCAATCAGCGTATTTTTAATGGTAGCAGTCAATGCAGTCAAAATCGCGCTTTAAAACTTAAAAGCTTACGGTTTGACGCTTCTAGGTCATCAAAACGCTTTCGTTTCCATATAAAATTTTATCGTATAAAATGGGACTAAATTGCATTTTAAAGCTT